GGGCCCGGGCTGGGGATTCGAACCCGCCACCTTAGGTGTATGTGGCTGGCGCCTTAGCTGCTTGAGCCACAGGCGCCGAGCCGATGTTTGTCTGTTTCTTGCCCTGCCTCCTACCCTGTCTTCCTCAGCAAGAAGTCTCCCCCCCACCTCTCCTTTCTCTCTGTAAGTAGGCTGTCTCTTTATACGTCCTACTCACTCTCAATCTGGCAGTTGGAGTAGGGGACTGGCTCTGGCTCTAGCTGTGTTTGTTTCTTTCTAGGGCATCTCTGTGGAGTCCAAGCTTTAGACCTCCACACTCCTGGCATCTCTGCCCTCTCCTTAGTGGCCCTCCTTCCACAATTCACACACATTCAGATCCCTACCTCACGCTGTTATTAGTATCTCTGTGCTTCTCTCTGCTTGGGGCTTCAGAGGGCATAGGAGACCCCAGACACTGGATAGTGGAAGAATCCTGGCCTGCTGGACTCAAACTACCAGGAGTGATGCCCTGCTCCTAACTCCTAAGTCCTGGGGCAGCCCTGGTACACTTGTGTATGGCTGAGGCAGGAGCTATATCCACAAGAGCCTTCCTATAGGTGAGGAGAACCTTAAGTGCTTCTCCCCAGTGCTCCATGGGCCAGTCTCCTGACTAAGGGGTAGGCCTCAAAGCAGAGAAGAGTAATGTGGAAAGGGAGTACTCTCCACCTTTCAGACTGCAGTTACTGGGACTATGGAAGTGAAAGGAGCATGCTATCCCAGCCACCAAGTCCTTGAGTATATTGGAGTATATAATGAAGGTCAGCCTGTGGCTTAGAGAGCTCATTCCCCCCACTTACCATCCACCAGGATGTAAGCTCAGGTAGTCAGGTACGTTCTGCAGGTGACATCCCCTACCCATCTCTCTTCAGGCTTATAGCTCCTGAAGATAAACACTTCCCATTTCCCTAGCTCTGCTTGCTTCATCAGGCTCTCAAGAAACCTCCAGGCTCAGCGCCTGTGGCTCAAGCAGCTAAGGCGCCAACCATATACACCTGAGCTGGCGGGTTCGAAACCAGCCTGGGCCCGCCAAAACAACAATGATGACTGTAACCAAAAAATAGCCGGGCGTTGTGGCGGGTGCCTGTAGTCCCAGCTACTTGGGAGGCAGAGGCAGAAGAATCACTTGAACCCAGGAGTTGGAGGTTGCAGCTAGCTGTGATGCTACGGCACTTTACCCAGGGCGACAGCTTGAGGCTCTGTCTCAAAATAAATAAATAAATAACATAAAATGTACATACAGGCTGGGTGTGGTGGTTCATGCCTGTAAGTAATCCTAGCACTCTGGGAGGATGAGGTGGGTGGATTGCTTCAGCTCACAAGTCCGAGTCCAGCCTGAGCAAAAGTGAGACCCTGTTTCTACTAAAAAATAGAAAAAGTGAGGCAAGAGGATTGCTTGAGCCTGAGTTGGAGGTTGCTGTGAGCTATGATGCTTGAGACTCTATCTCAAAAAAAAAAATGTACATACAGAAAAGTAAAGCTCGTTTAAATCTTCCTTGGTCCTACCTACAGAGGTAGCAGACATCTCCTATTTGGCATCATGGCTGCCCTCAGACCGTTTGTGAAGCTGAAGATCATCAAAAAGAGGACCAAGAAGTTTATCTGACACCAGTCAGACTGAAATATCAAAATTAAGCGTAATTGGCGGAAACCCAGAGGTATTGACAACAGGGTTGGGAGAAGATTCAAGGATCTAGTTTCATTCTGCATATGGATAGATTTCCCAGCATCCTTTCCACACTGTATGTTCTTGGCACCTTTGTCAAAAATAAGTTCACTAGAGATGAGTGGATTTGTTTTGTTCCATTGGTCCATGTGTCTGCTTTTACACCACTAGCACACTATTTTGTTTACTACAGCTCTGTAGTATAATTTGAAGTCAGGTAACATGATTCCTCCAGTTTTGTTATTTTTGCTCAGCATGACTGTGGCTATTCTGAGTCTTCTGTGGTTCCATATACATTTTAGGATTGTTTTTCTATTTATGGGAAGAATGTCGTTGAATGGGAAATATATTGAATCTGTAGACTGCTTTGGGTAGTATAGACATTTTAACAAGATTGATTCTTCTAATTCCTGAATATGGAATATCTTTCCATTTTTATGAGTGCTTCTTTAATTTCTTTTCTTTTCTTCATTTTTTGCTTTTTTCTTTTCTTTTCTTTTCTTTTTTTTTGAGACAAAGTTTCATTTTGTTGACCTTGGTAGAGTGCCGTGACATGACAGCTCACAGCCACCTCAAACTCTTGGGCTTAAGCCATCTTCTTGCCTCAGCCTCCCAATTAGCTTGAACTACAGGCACCTGCCACAATGCCAAGCTACTTTATTTTATTTTATTTTTTATCGAGCAATAATATTAATAATGCAAAAAAAGTAACATTCACATTGTCAAATAAGAGTATGTCTATTATAGAATGCTTTGAATATTTCTTGAATAAGAAATTAACTTTTAGCCACCTACTATGTATCTTAAGAACTGAATATACAGGTGTGAATAAAGTACGGTACGTCCTTGCCCTCATGGAGCTCCCATGGAGAGAAAAAGTATATTCTGGAGATATATACAGTGAGTACCAAAAAATTATACACATTTTAAGAATGGAAAAACCTGGCCGGGTGTGGGGACTCACGCTGATAATCCTAGCACATGGGGAGGCCAAGGCGGGCAGATTGCTTGAGCTCAGGAGTTTGAGACCAGCCTGAGTCAGAATGAGACCCCTGTTTCTAAAAAATAGCCAAGGGCGCTGTGGGCCTGTAGCTCAGCGGCTAGGGCGCCAGCCACATACACCCAAGCTGGCAGGCTAGAATCCAGGTAGGGCCACCCAAACAACAATGACATTTACAATAACAAAATAGCCAGGCATTGTGGCAGGCACCTGTAGTCCTGGCTACTTGGGAGGCTGGGACAAAAGAATTGTTTAAGTTCAAGGGTTTGAGGTTGCTGTGAGCTGTGACTCCGCTGCACTCTAACAAGGGCAACAGCTGGAGACTCTGCCTCAAAAAAAAAAAAATAGCCAGGGGTTGTGGTGGGTGCCTTTAGTCCCAGCTACTTGGGAGGCTGAGGCAAGAAAATCACTTGAGCCCCAGAGTTGGAGGTGGCTGTGAGCTATGATGCCATGGCACTCTACCCAGGGCAAAAGCTTGAGACTCTGTCTAAAAAAAAAAAATGTATATACATTTTTTGTCACCCTCTATATATTTTTTTGATATTCCACTGATAATTTCTAGTAGGCAATTAGATAGGTGTGTCTGAGGCACTGTAGTAAGGCCTGAGATGCACATTCCGAAGTGGATGGTAGCCAGACATGATGGCT